CGTGGTGCGGGCGCGACACGGAGGGTTGCGATCCCGTTGCCGGTCGCGGTACCGAGGGTTGCGGTACCGAGGGTTGCGATCCCGTTACCGGTCACGAGAAAAGACAAAAAGGAAAAAAGAAGAAAAGAAAACTTATTTGCCCAAGGTCATATGACTAGTGAGCAGCAGAGCCGATAGTTTGGTCTTAGTCTGCGTTTAACCACTAAACCAAATGGCTTCCCTGAGATCCTAGAGCATGTTTGTACCAATGCCTCAATTTAAACAGATACTAGATTATCCTTAGGATCTTTGACTTCTTTCTCTGGTGTTCAGATACAAAGCCAGAACCAGTGCCATTCACGCATGAACTGGCTGTCCTCATTCCTCCTTTTTCTTTCCATTTTCACAGTATTCTAACTTCTGTCCACAGCCAGGGCCCTATCTTTCCTCCCCTATAGGAGGATGAAAGCATCCCCCGCGGATCGTCTCACAAGGTGAGGCAGGGAGGGCCCACCATGATCCCCTACCATCCCTTCCAGCCCAATGGCAGAGAAATTCTGAATGTTGGAAGGATAAGGATTCCTTCCTAAGGAGGAATCATATGACCATTACAAAGCCTGAAGACAATATAAGATTGATTTACAACACAAATGAATTCCATTTGAATCCCCGCACCCCCCCCCCCCCCCCCCCCCCAAGGCTTTCCCACTTCTCGCAAACCCACCTGGAGGGGCCTGAGCTGGGCACTCCCATCTTGACAAATATTCACCACGGCTGCCCGACAGTGGTTGTCCTGCAAGTGTCTGTCAACATGAAGAGCTTCTACCACGGACTGGCGAAAGGATGCCCATGGACAGAATGAAAAAACAAAACAAAACACATACTAGAAAAAGTCCTAAACAATTTCCTTACAAGTAATTACTTTGAAAATTATTGGTTTAGATGGCACAACAGTAAGGACCTTTAAACAGATCGGTCTTTTTATTCAATGTTTTCATAACCTTGAAATGAAGTAAAAGGTGGCAGGAGCAGAACATTTTAAGGTGCCAGAATTAAACTCCAGGTCAGTGCTCCTGGACATGATGTTTTTCAGAAAAAACCTTGGGACCTAGAGCTCTGTAAAGTCACTTTTGTAACTCCACCAGATGTTCTAGGGTATGTCAGAGGACACTCAGGTTGAGTCTAAGCCTTTATGGATAACTCAGACATAGCAACCATTTACAACTCTTTGTTTCTGCTATCCAGGGCCCTGTTGCTAGAGATAAAAAAAATGTGGGGAAGCCTTCAGAACATTCTAAGCCTGGTAAGTATTTCTGGCTGTAATTTTTAAATCTCACTACAACCCTGACAAGAGACCACAACCTTAATCTCCCATGGTATGATTGGTTAGTCTTGACCTGAAGCGTATAATGAAATACCCCCAAATGTGCAGAAGAAATCTTATGTCAAAAGTACATTATATACCATGTAGGGGCTCAGAAATCAATCTTTACCTCAAAAGGATAAGAAAGCTTCCAGTATTCAAAGAGAACATCCTCACAGTCTTTCCTACATCCTAAAATAGGCCTATTTACCAAAAGAGCATTGGTTAGATCGTGGTGCTTATAACACCAAGGTCCAAGGTTTGACCCCGGTATCGGCCAGCCTCCAAAGAAAGAAAAGAAAAGAAAAGGAGCAAAACGGAGATTAGCAATTCCTGAACACCTACTCAATTCTAGTCACAGTCATACACGTTAACTCATTTAATCACCGCCCCAAGGTCGGTACCAACTGTTAACATTTTACATCCGTGAGAACCACTGAGAGATCTGGGACCTGCTCAAGGTGACACACTGCAGCAAGTAGGAGTCAGAATTTGAATCCGAAGCAGTGTCCTTCCCCGCTGCACCACAGTAAACGCAGCTCTGCAGCGGGGAAATTAATGACCCACAGCCATCCTGTAGCTCTGGGCCACAAATGGGAGACAAATTGGTCCTCGTGACTCTTCAGTCTTTCTGTTTTCGGCTAACTGCGTGACTGCGGGAGCAAGGCGACCACGTGAGCGTCCCCCCCCCCCACGCGAGGGACCGCGCCCATCTGCCCAAGGACAAATCACAGGTGCGACATGCCAAAAATGGATCCGGAGCCCCAGGTCGCAAGCTCCCCCGCAGCGGCGCCGGGCGGACAGGAGGGAAGCGGGCCAGGTGTAGACCCCGGCGCGGCAAGTCGTAAATGCGCTGAAAGTGAGGCTTTAGGAGCCGCCAGCATGGCAAGACGGGGTCCGCGAAGGAGGAACCAGGAACGACCTCCGTCGTGGCCTCTGTTACTCCGCACGACGACCTCCCGGGGGAGGGTGAGGGTCCTCTGCCCGTCACCAGGCTCCGCGGACAGACGGCGCAGAAAACGCCCGGGCGAGGCCGACGGGAGGGGGCCGTGCCGTCCCACGTGGACGAGCTCCCCGCTGGGGGCGTGGCCGCCGGCGCGGGCCGGACCAATGAGCGCCACCGTCGGGCT